GCTCAGTAGGAACAGCTGTAAGTCATCGAGCCACGCATCGAACTCTATCGGGCGGCCCTCCGGATCAAAGGTGAGAATACTGAGTGTGGCCATGGCGGGCAGAGCAGCCGGGCGCGCTAGCAGCAGAGCAGCACGCACGCAGAGCTAGGCAGGCGTGCGCGCTAGCAGCAGGGCAGCACGCAGGCAAGGCAAGGCAGGGCGGCGCAAGGCGACGCAGCGGCGAGCGGCGCGCGGGCAGCAGGAGAGGGCGGCACTGCAGCGAGCGGCGCGCGGTAGGGCAGGGCGCGCGGCGGCGTGGCGCGCGGGCAGGGCAGGACGGCGCGGCGCGCGGGCAGGGCAGGGCGCGCGGCGGCGCGGCGCGCGGGCAGGGCAGGGCGCGCGGCGGCGGGCGGCGCGCTGGCAGGGCAGGGCGCGCTGCTGCGGGCGGCGCGCGGGCAGAGCAGGGCGCGCGGCGGCGGGCGGCGCGTGGGCAGGGCAGAGTGCACGGCGGCGGACGGCGCGCGAGCGGGGCGACGCGGCGCGCGGGCAGGGCAGGGCGCGCTACGGCAGGCGGCGCGCGGGCAGTGCAGGGCGCACGGGCGCGGCGGCGCGGCGGCAGACGACGCGCGGGCAAGCAGGGCGCGCGGGCGAGGCGGCGCGGCGGCGCGCGGGCAAGCAGGGCGCGCTGCAGCGGGCGGCGCGCGGGCAAAGCAGAGCGCGCTGCGACGGGCGGCGCGCGGGCAGGGCAGGGCGTGCGCAGGCAGCACGACGCAGGGTAGGGCGGGGCAGGGCGGCGCGATCACAGCGGCGCGACGGGTGGGGTAGCGCTACTCGGTGGGCCCTAAAAAAAAAAAAACGGTCCTAGGCTAGGACCTGCTCTGAAACCATGTCAAGAATAAGAACGAGAATGGATGAACTAGCAGCAAGATGGGTACAAGTAGGAAACCCTAATTGGGTTGTACCCCATATGGGCTACCCCACTATAGCCTACACAATAAGTAGCATATAAGTTTGACAGTGCCATCAGGAACCAGTAGGGTTTTCCACTCAGTCGGGGCTGCTGCAAACGGAGCGGAGAGCCAGCCGAGCCGACTCCTTGCCCCTCCGCTCCCTCTCCAAAGTATCCATGTCCTTAATCACCGCCGCGCCGAAGGACCTGTGGTAACCAAGTCTCCCAAACGTGCATCCCAGAGTCCTTTCGCCTCCTTCTGCCCACCGACCGGATTCGTACCGTTCAACAGCAGGTTCTTGTTAAAAATAATCCGCTCCTGAGCCACCTCCTCTCTGCTGCTAGCTTTGCCCGTGTCGGCAAGCGGTGATTTAAAAAATGCCTCATATGTCTGCTTCCACCGTTCCCCTTCCCCTGGCCTGTGCTTCAGCAACCTTTCATGCGCCATGAAAGTATCCTCTCCAATCGGAAGCCCTGCCGCTTTCAACATAATTTCTTTTTTCTTCCCGTTCTCCTCCATCAGAAGCCCACCGATTCTCCTGGCGGCAAGGCAGGCCAGAAGTACATCCGGGTCCAGCACCCCCAAACCTCCATCCGCTCTCAGGGTGGTGAGGAGATCCCAACTCCAGAGAACAAAACCTCCTTCCGCCGATGCGTTATTCCCCGTCAGGAAGTTGTGCATCAGCTTCATCAACTTTTTACAGACATCCTCTAATAAAGATAAACCTAAGCCTGGTAAGCCACCCTCGGAGTGATATAGCAGTTGATGATCATCACCACCCTGGCCGCAATCGTAAGAAATAATGCTTTCCATTTGATCAGCTCCACGTCTATCTTCTCGAAAGCCCGCTTCCAGGTCGGCTCGCTGCTACCAGAAGGGGTGACCCACACTCCCGCTATTGTAGAATGGTGTCGGTAGATTCAAACTATACATTTACTTAGGTGCTAGGTGTTTACTTTGTGCTAGGTTGCATTCAACTTTGTTATTGACGAGTATGGAGCTAGGTTTCCCTTAGCGAGCCCAACCCACCCATCGCCTCGCTAGAGCGATCCCGTAATTCCCGCTAGCCCGTTGCGCCCGCCTCTATCCTAGCCTAGGATCGCGCCCATCTATTCTATACCCGTCTCGACTTAGCCTAGGTTAGTCGCGACCCTATATAAGCGCGTCGAAACTCTGCCTAGGCTAGTCGCGACCGATCCTAGGCTCGTTTTGAACGTCCTTAGGCTCGTCGCGACCGTCATTAAGCCCGTTGAGAGCCTCCACAGGTCTGTCGCGACCTTTCCCAGGCCCGTCTAGCCCCACCTCGATCTGTCGCGCACTGCCTAATGCACCGCCACTAACGCGAAACCGCCTCAAACCGCCGTTACCCGCCGTTACCCGCCGTTACCTGCTGTGACCCGCCGTTATCCGCCATTAATCGCCGTTACCAGTCGTTTCCCCGCCGTTACCCGCCTTCACCCGCCCCTACCCGCCACTACCCGCTGTTACCCGCCGTTTCCCCGCCGTTACGCGCCATTACCCGCCCCTACCAGTCACTTCAAGCCATTACCCGCCTCCCCGCGCCCTTTAGCCCGACGACCCGCACCCCGCACCCCGTCCAAACCAGGGTTTCTTAATTTACTCGCACCCCACCGCTTCCTACCGCCCGTACCCGGGCCTCCGCGCATCCGAACACCCGTGCCTCGCCCGTTTATGGCGACCTCCCGTGTGCTGTCGTTCGATCCGGAGGGCCGCCCCGTCGACTTCCCGTCATGGTTGCGGAAGCTCCGCCTCTACCTCGGAAGTCGGCTCGAAAACGACGTGCCCCTGTCTGAGCATGTCACTGGTGAGCTAAAGGCCCCTCCTGCTCCCAAGCCCCTTGGTGCCAACCCGTCAGAGGCAGATAAGACTGCATTTGCCCTGGCTCGCCTTGAGCTCAGGCGCTGGGCGGCTCGTGACGCTGCTGCCATTCTCGCCATCACTGACCTCCTCCCATTGTCCGAGCAGGCGCACTTTGGCCAGGAGGAGACGGCCAAGGCACTGTACGATGCTGTAGTTGCACGCTATTCCACCCTTGCCACTGCGTCCCTCGGCCGCATCGTGCTGCCTTTTCTCTTCCCCGATCTCCTTTCGTTCCATAGAGTGGCTGATCTGATCCTGCACTTGCGCTCGCTCGATGCTCAGTTTCGTGCTGCCGCCACTGATCCTGATTTACTTGCTAAAAACCCTCCACCCATGTACATGACCCTATACCTTCTCGCTACACGCCTCCCTAGCCGCTTCAAATCTGTTCGTGATTACTTTCTCACCATTGACCCCATGACTCTCACTATTGAGCTCTTTGAGGAGAGGCTTCTTGCCGTCGAGAGTCTTGCCCTCTCTCTTGCTGCCGCTAGTAGTACTGTCCTCCCCCCTATCTTTGAAGGGTGTGCCCCATCCTTCCTTGTCTCCTTTGCGGCCTCGGTCTCTGTTGCTGAGGCAACAGAGGTGGCAACAGTTGCCTCTAGTCACAAGAGGGGCAAGAAAGGCGGTAAGAAAGGAGGCGGTGGAGGTGGCGGTGGCGGTGGGGGTGGTGATGGCGGAGGTGGAGGGAGTGGAGGTGGTGGCGGAGGCAGTGGAGGAGGAGGAGGTGTTGGCTACGGAGGGGTGGAGTCTCCACAGCAGCAGCCACAGCAGCTACAGCCACAGCAGCAGCAGCAGCCACTACAGCAGCAGCCACAGCAGCAGCAGCCACAACAGCAGCAGCCACAGCAGCTACAGCCACAGCAGCAGCAGCAGCCACTACAGCAGCAGCCACAGCAGCAGCAGCCACAACATCCACAGCAGCAACAACTACAGCAGCAACAGCCACAACGGCAGCCACAGCAGCAGCAGCTCCAGGGTCAGCAACAACAGTTCGAGCAGTGGGGAGCGCAGCAGCAGTGGGGTTCGTTTGGACCAGGGAGCACTGGCCGCAGCAGTCACCCACCCAACTGGACGTCGCGTGGTTCCTCCCCTACTCCCTGCCAGTACCCAGTTCAGACTGGACCACGTCGAGGTCGCCCCTGCGGCCGTCCCCACCCTCCGGGTCAGTGCTTTGCGCTGCTCACGGATCGCTACCGTGCACAGTTCGGCCTTGGTGGTACCGCTCCGGACTGGGCCCCGCTGGTTCGTACACTTGGTCCGGCGTTGTTTGACATGTCTGCGACTGATTTGCATGCTGCATTGCGACCTGCTTCTGTGATGCATGCTGATGTTGACTATAGACTAGGATCCTTGTCTGTTGTTAGTGCTCCTATTTCCAGGGCAGGTGCTTGTGTAGTTTCTAGCCCGAGTGTTCCCATGGCTGACGCATCGCTCTCTTTGACGCTGGATTCTGACGCGTCTCAGACTCAGTGCTTCTTCCGCGACAACATCACTGCCACACACAACTCATTTTTGGGTTTTCGTGACTCTGATTATCAATGTAGTTTTTTTGGAAACTCTGATTATTAGTGTGAGTTGTAGAGATTATTTTCAACCATGAGCATACAAACAGGCCCTATTATCTCGTTGTAAAGGATACTGAAATTCCTGAAGAAATCACTAGTTTTAGCTGTCACATTGAGAAATTAGTATGAGCCAGTAAAATCAGTATTTTTATCATAACCACACCTAGGAATCAGTGTAGCGGTGTTATGTGAACCCTGACTCGTAGTTCTTTTGATCACACTGGTAAAAAAAATCCGCTGCGGGGCTCTATGGTGTACCTGCACAGCTGAGCACCCGCAGACACTGGAGCGATGTCTTTCGCATAAGGCGTACAAAATCCTTTCCATCCACCACAGCCGTTGTCACTGAAACAAGTTGCACTGAATCTCGAGTCGCCCAGTCATGATTGGAAGTCTCATTAGTCTCTAACTGGTTCCACCTTCTACGAAGTGGTATCGAATGCGCTAGAGTGTCATCGAGCTGCCTAAAAAATCAAGCCTGCCCAGGCCGTGCGACAATGCACTGTGCGATTCCTGCGACACACTTCAGCGACACCACGCGATTCCGCTAGCTTCCCCGCAGCATCCCAGTCGCTTCCCGTCACGCCAATCCGCTAATCCCATTCTGTCGCATCGACACATCATGGCCGTTCGATTATCGTTCGCGTCGCAAGGGCTCGTGTCAACGCGCGCCCCGCCAGTCATCGTCGCTGCTGACTCCTCGCCGTTCCCCCCTCGCCGCTCCGCACGGCGCGAGCCATTCCGTCCCCGCGCCGCGCGTTCCGCCCATCCCACGCATGCGGCCGTGCGGAGATTCTGTGGAATGCGCGGGGAATGGCGGAACCCGCGCGCTGACGATTCGCTGTTTCTCTCCCGCCGCCGAGACCGCCGCTTGATCCCAGGCAGTCCCGGCGACGGTGGTAACTGTGTTTCTACTATCGCACGGCGAACAGGCAAATGGCGACGGCAGGCAGCCTTAGCGAATTCCGAGGTTTCTTATAAAGCGGATGGATCTGATCCGAGGATCGCGGAAGAGGCGGATTGCGTGGTGGTGGGCGGCGGGATTTCGGGGCTGTCAGCGGCGTTCGCGCTGGCGACGCGGCACGCGGACGCCGTGCCGCGCGTGCTTGTAACGGAGGCGCGGGAGCGCGTGGGAGGGAATGTGACTACAACGGTGGGGGAGACGGGGACGGAGAGTGAGGGGTATGTGTGGGAGGAGGGGCCTCACAGCTTTCAACCTAGCGACGCCATGCTACAGTGCGCTGTGAGTTACCGGGTTACCAGGTTACCGGGTCACCATGCTACAATGGTGGAGGAGGCAGGGACGGAGAGCGAGAGGTTCGTGTGAGAGGAGGGGCCTCCCAGCTTCCAGCCCAGCGATGCCATGCTGCAGTGCGCTGTGAGTTGCCATGTTACCACCGCGCTGCACTGTGCTGTGGGTGACATTGCTACACCACTCAATAGTTCTGCTGTCCCTCCCTCATGCGCCTCTCTCCAACCATCCCACCCTCGTCCACCTCCTATCCTGTTTCCCCCTGTCCCCATATTCGCCCTTCCCGTTCAGCTCCACTGTGGCATTCTCCCTGACCTTGTGCTGGGAGTGCCCCACGCGCCTCGCTACCACTCCAACCATCCTTCCATTCCCTTCCCTCCCCCCCTGCACCCATTGTCATTCCCTGTCCCCCCCTCCCCCATACAGCTCGACTGCGGCATTCTCCCCGACCTCGTGCTGGGAGCCCCCGACGCACCTCGCTACGTCTTTTGGGACGGCAAGCTGCGTCCCATTCCCTCAGGCCCCGCTGATTTGATCTCCTCGGATCTGCTGACGCTGGGTGGCAAGCTGCGGGCGGCACTGGGGTTTGTGGGGATCAGAGCAGGCCAGGTGGGAACCGAATTGGCCCAGGTGGGAACCGAATCAGCCCAGACGCAAACCAGAGTAGGTGGTTTAGGTTCAAGGGACATGAGTGTGCCATGTGGGACATGAGTGTGCCATGTGGGACATGAGTGTGCCATGTGGGGCATGAGTGTGCCATGTGCACATACCATATTCTCTCCCGTTTCCCCCGCGCCACCAGCGGGGCGGCAGCAAGGAGGAGAGTGTGTCTCACTTCATGTCTCACTCCTTGTGGCAACATGAGCTCGCAGCTGCTGCACGGGAGAGTGGCATTCACTCGTGTACCCTTCGCACCCATGTCTGTCAACCTGCACTGCACCCATACGTGCCATACACCTTCCCACCTCCGTGCCACCAGCCAGGCTGCAGCAAGGAGGAGAGTGTGTCGCAACCTTGGCTCCACACAATCCTTGTGCGCCTGTCTGTCCTGCACCCATCTGTGCCATGCACCCATCCCTACCTACTATGCGCCCTCCCATCCCACACACCATCAGGAGGGCAGCAGCAAGGAGGAGAGTGTGTCAGAGTTTGTGACTCGCAACCTCGGCTCGCAGCTGCTGCACCGATTGGTCGATCCCTTCTGCTCCTGTAACCATTCCACTTCCCGAATCCTGTAATAACCCTCACTTCCCTGCTTTATTAGTCACCCCTCGTTGTCTCTGCTCTAGTAACCACTCTCCTTCTCTTCTACCCTCTTCATTCTTTCAGTATTTGGACCCCCATATTCCCTTTGCTTTCCATCTGCCCCGCAAGCCACCTGCTACCAGTTTCAGGTTGAGACATTTCAGAACACAGAGTCTTACACAACGGCTTCACTTCCTTGCCGCCTGTGATCCTTTCCTCCCCACGCCACAACGAACATCAGCCCTTCTCTGATTCTTAGCTGAAGATTTGTGTTAAGCTGCCCCTCTGAGAAACGCACTCAACCAGGCACTCCTTCCTCTCTCTCACCAAACCCATCAGGTTCGTCTTGTTGTCCAAAACAACAAGAGATGATGGAAGTAAGGCCTCCGCAGCCCACGTGACCGTCACTGACACGTCCCACACCACCACAAACATCAGCCCTTTCCTCCGCGTTTCACGCCACTGAGAATTCTCAAAAGTGGCACAGCCAGTACCGGTGTCCAGCAGGACAGCTTGCGGTAATCAAAGCTGCATATTGAACGGCGCCATCCCTCTCCCTCTCCCTGCACCTTCCTTCCCCTCCCTGCCCCTTCTCCCCACCTCCCCTCCCCCCCCCTTCCCCTCTCCTCTCCCCCCCATTGCGCCTTCCCCACCTGCAGGCATATTTGCGGGGGATGCGGAGCAGATGAGCATGCAGGCAGCGTTCCACCGCATATGGCGCATGGAGGCTGAGGGGGGCTCGCTGCTGGGGGGCATGATTCAGCTGGGGAAAGAGAGGAAGGAGAAGCAGAAGGAGAACCCGGCAGATCCGCGAGACCCGTAAGTGCAGTGACCAAGCATGGCGCATGGAGGCAGAAGGGAAAGCTTTTGGGTGGGATAATGCAGCTGGGGAGGGAGAGGAAGGTAAAGGAGAAAAGTGAGGAGACGAGGAAAAGTGAATCTGGGATAGTCTCCTTATGGACTCGTTAGTGCAGTCACCAGGCATGGCATGGCGAGTGTGGAGGCACACAGGTGGGCTTGCGGCTTGCTGTGCTGGCCTGGGTTGACCCCAAAAGCTGAATGCTGCAGGTGGAGAGGGTTGAGGAAAGAGACGGAGATGGAGAGCGGCCCTGCAAAGTCCTTCTTTGCGAAGTCTTAAAAAGCCAGGTCACTTGGCCCGTTGGTGCACCACACAGTGCAGTGCATCTGCATCCTCTCTTCCACCATACGTGCACGTGAGATACAATGCGTCGGCTGCTACTTGTGTAGCATGCGTGCAAGTGGAATATCATTGACTCTTCTGCCCCACCCCCCTCTACCACATGCCTCCTCCACTATTTCGCCCATTTCCCACACTTCCCTATCCCCCCCTTCCTCCTCCTGCCCTCTTTCACTTTCCTGCCCCCATCCTCCCTCACCGTTTCGGCGTCCCGCCATCCCCTCCCCACTCAAACCCCCTCATCCGCTTTCTCATCTCCCGTCCCCTCCCCGTTCCCCAATCCCCATCCCCTCTTCCCCCATCCCCATCCCCTCGTCCCCCATCCCCATCCCCTCTTCCCCCATCCCCATCCCCTCTTCCCCCATCCCCATGCCCTCTTCCCCCATCCCCATCCCCTCGTCCCCCATCCCCATCCCCTCTTCCCCCATCCCCATCCCCTCTTCCCCCATCCCCATGCCCTCTTCCCCCATCCCCATCCCCTCTTCCCCCATCCCCATCCCCTCGTCCCCCATCCCCATCCCCTCTTCCCCCATCCCCATCCCCTCTTCCCCCATCCCCATCCCCTCTTCCCCCATCCCCATCCCCTCGTCCCCCATCCCCATCCCCTCTTCCCCCATCCCCATCCCCTCTTCCCCCATCCCCATGCCCTCTTCCCCCATCCCCATCCCCTCTTCCCCCATCCCCATCCCCTCTTCCCCCATCCCCATCCCCATCCCCATCCCCTCTTCCCCCATCCCCATCCCCTCTTCCCCCATCCCCATGCCCTCTTCCCCCATCCCCATCCCCTCTTCCCCCATCCCCATCCCCTCGTCCCCCATCCCCATCCCCTCTTCCCCCATCCCCATGCCCTCTTCCCCCATCCCCATGCCCTCTTCCCCCATCCCCATGCCCTCTTCCCCCATCCCCATCCCCTCTTCCCCCATCCCCATCCCCTCTTCCCCCATCCCCATCCCCTCTTCCCCCATCCCCATCCCCTCGTCCCCCATCCCCATCCCCTCTTCCCCCATCCCCATCCCCTCTTCCCCCATCCCCATGCCCTCTTCCCCCATCCCCATCCCCTCGTCCCCCATCCCCATCCCCTCTTCCCCCATCCCCATCCCCTCTTCCCCCATCCCCATGCCCTCTTCCCCCATCCCCATCCCCTCTTCCCCCATCCCCATCCCCTCTTCCCCCATCCCCATCCCCTCTTCCCCCATCCCCATCCCCTCTTCCCCCATCCCCATGCCCTCTTCCCCCATCCCCATCCCCTCTTCCCCCATCCCCATCCCCTCGTCCCCCATCCCCATCCCCTCTTCCCCCATCCCCATGCCCTCTTCCCCCATCCCCATGCCCTCTTCCCCCATCCCCATGCCCTCTTCCCCCATCCCCATCCCCTCTTCCCCCATCCCCATCCCCTCGTCCCCCATCCCCATCCCCTCGTCCCCCATCCCCATCCCCTCTTCCCCCATCCCCATGCCCTCTTCCCCCATCCCCATGCCCTCTTCCCCCATCCCCATGCCCTCTTCCCCCATCCCCATCCCCTCTTCCCCCATCCCCATCCCCTCTTCCCCCATCCCCATCCCCTCTTCCCCCATCCCCATCCCCTCTTTCCCCGATCCCCATCCCCTCTTCCCCATCCCCATCCCCATCCCCTCTTCCCATCCCCTCTTCCCCATCCCCTCTTCCCCATCCCCTCTTCCCCATCCCCATCCCCATCCCCTCTTCCCATCCCCTCTTCCCATCCCCTCTTCCCATCCCCTCCCTCCTCCCTCAACCCTGCAGGCGGCTCCCCAAGCCACAGGGCCAGTCAGTAGGGTCCTTCCGCTCAGGGCTGGCCACTCTCACTCGCGCCATGGCTGACCGGTAGGTATGGCAGGGCTCACCGGTAGGAGTGGCAGGGCTGACAGGTAGGCTCGGTAGCAGGGATGTCAGGGCTGGTTGGTAGGTCTGGTAGAAGAATTGGGAGCACTGGTTGGTAAGTTTGGGTGGCAGGAGTGGCAGGGTCGGCAAGAAGGTTTGGGCAGCTGATGGGAATAGGTGGCAGGTATGGCGTGGCAGGTTTGCAAGTGGTTGCAGTAGTCTCAACCACAATTCAAAGTGGTGGCAACAAGTAAACCCATTGTTTTCCTACCTCCACTGGTTTTTCTCGCTCTCCTCGCCCCTGTTCCCTCCCCCTCTCCCCCCTCCCCAACCTTCCCCTCCCACAGCCGGGGAAGCAGGGTACGAGTGGGGAGTTTTTTTTTTTAGGTACCTCGTCAGAAAAAATCTTCCTTCTCCCCCCGTCTCTCAACCCCCTCTGTCTCTTGTCCCTCTCTTTGCTGTCCCCCACCCTTCAATCCCCGTTCCCCCCTTTTGCCCCACAGCCTGGGCAGCAGGGTGCGAGTGGGGTGGCGACTGGTGGGCATGCAGCAGCGGGCAGGACGGGGGCCTGTGCTCACGTACGACACGATTTCTCTTAAGGTGCCTCAAACAAATAGGCTCCCCAACCCCTTCCATCCCCCCTCCCCCCACAGCCTGGGGACCAGAGTGTGGGTGGGGTGGCGGCTGGTGGGCATGCAGCAGCGGGCAGGACGGGGGGCCGTGCTGACGTACGACACGCCACGTGGCACCACACGAGTGGCCGCGCGCTCCGTGCTGCTCACCGTGCCTGCTTACGTTGCTGCTGACGTCATCAGGGCTTTCTCTGTGAGGGCCGCTGCTCTTCCTGCTCCCCCCCAGCAGTAAACATGTTTCCTCTGGGTGTGGGGAGGCATATGTCGAAAGAAATACTACATAGAGATAGAGTGCTTCCCTCCCTTTATTTCCTCTGAATCATCCATCGTTCACCCCCACTGCTCCAACCCCATCCATCCACTACTCCATCGGCTTCACTCGCGCCCTCTTCGCTTCTACTTTCGCACTCTGCCCCATTTCCAGTCGTCAAAAGCCCTCCGGTGTGCCATCAGTAGCACTCTCCTTCGAGAGGCATGACGCCAAGAGCCTTTCCTCTCATGCGCCCCACCTTGCCTCTCTCCTCTAGGGAAACTCCTTCCCTCCGTTCCACCCTCACCCCGCCCTCTCCCCCTTGCCCCTCCCCCACACAGACCCACCCTCTCCCCTCCCGCAACCCTTTTCCTCACATCGGTCCCTCTGTCCGCCCTCCCCTCCGAGCCCACAACAGCAGCAGCCCTGGCAGCCATACCCTACCCGCCCATGGCATCCGTGGCTCTTTCCTACCCTGCTGCTTCCGTCAGGGAGGGGGCGGGGTGGGCAGGGGGGCTTGTGAGTCGATTCATAATTCACCTCTCTCCTTCTTCCCTCTTCCCCTCTTACACCCTTCCCCCCGCCTCCAGCCCACAGCAGCAGCAGCGCTGTTCGCTCCGCCATACCCTACCTGCCCATGGCATCTGTGGCTCTTTCCTACCCTGCTGCTTCCGTCAGGGAGGGGGCGGGGTGGGCAGGGGGGCTTGTGAGTCGATTCATAATTCACCTCTCTCCTTCTTCCCTCTTCCCCTCTTACACCCTTCCCCCCGCCTCCAGCCCACAGCAGCAGCAGCGCTGTTCGCTCCGCCATACCCTACCTGCCCATGGCATCTGTGGCTCTTTCCTACCCTGCTGCTTCCGTCAGGGAGGGGGCGGGGTGGGCAGGGGGGCTTGTGAGTCGATTCATAATTCACCTCTCTCCTTCTTCCCTCTTCCCCTCTTACACCCTTCCCCCCGCCTCCAGCCCACAGCAGCAGCAGCGCTGTTCGCTCCGCCATACCCTACCTGCCCATGGCATCTGTGGCTCTTTCCTACCCTGCTGCTTCCGTCAGGGAGGGGGCGGGGTGGGCAGGGGGGCTTGTGAGTCGATTCATAATTCACCTCTCTCCTTCTTCCCTCTTCCCCTCTTACACCCTTCCCCCCGCCTCCAGCCCACAGCAGCAGCAGCGCTGTTCGCTCCGCCATACCCTACCTACCCATGGCATCTGTGCCTCTCTCCTACCCACCTGCTGCCGTCAGTCAAGCACGGGCCGGAAAAAAGGGCCTTTTGAATCGATTCATGATTCACACCTCTCCCTCTCTCCTTTTCCTTCTCTTCCACTCTTCCCCACAGCAGCGGCAGCCCTGGCAGCCATACCCCCATGGCATCCGTGGCTCTTTCCTACCCAGCTGCTGCTGTCAGGGAGGGGGCGGGGAGGCAAGGGGAATTTATGAGTCGAATCTAAAACTCCCCTTGTCCTCTCTTTCTCTCTCCCCCATTCCCTCTTCCCTCTCCCAGCCCACAGCGGCAGCAGCCCTGGCAGCCATACCCTACCCGCCTATGGCATCCGTGGCCCTCTCTTACCCCGCCGCTGCCATCAGGGAGGGGGCTGAGCAAGCAGGGGGGCTGCGCGGGTATGGGCAGCTGCACCCGCGCTCCCAGGGGCTGGCTACATTAGGTGAGACGGGTGGAAGTGGGAGGGAGAGGGATGGGTGGGGCAGGGAGGGCAAGGGGGCTGAAGGGGTATGGGCAGCTGCACCCGCGCTCCCAGGGGCTGGCGACGCTAGGTGAGATGGGGAGAGGTGGGAGAGAGGTGGAGAAGGTTGGGGGATGGAGAGAGTGTATTAGGGGAAGTGGTGGGAGAGAGTGGGAGCGAGTGGGTGAGAGGGAGCGGGGATGAAAGCGGGGCTGGGGGGTATGGGCAGCTGCACCCGCGCTCCCAGAGGCTTAGTGATGCACCTCTAAGCACCGCGCAAGCAGAGTTGAGTTTTGAGTCGACTCAAAGGTATGGGCAGCTGCACCCGCGCTCCCAGAGGCTTAGTGATGCACCTCTAAGCACCGCGCACGCATCGCACTCACCTGCTTCCCTCCATCACTGCCCCTCCTCTCCCCTCTTCCCCACCCAGGCTGCATCTACAGTTCTGCCCTCTTCCCCAACAGAGCACCTGACGGCCGCGTGCTGCTCATCAGCTACGTGGGCGGTGCAGGGAACGATGCTGTCGCTGAAATGGTGAGTGGGCACAGTGGCCCATGTGAGGTGTAGCACGTGGCCCATGTGAGGTGTAGCACTTGGCCCATGTGAGGTGTAGCACGTGGCCCATGTGAGGTGTAGCACTTGGCCCATGTGAGGTGTAGCACGTGGCCCATGTGAGGTGTAGCACGTGGCCCATGTGAGGTGTAGCACTTGGCCCATGTGAGGTGTAGCACGTGGCCCATGTGAGGTGTAGCACGTGGCCCATGTGAGGTGTAGCACTTGGCCCATGTGAGGTGTAGCACTTGGCCCATGTGAGGTGTAGCACGTGGCCCATGTGAGGTGTAGCACGTGGCCCATGTGAGGTGTAGCACTTGGCCCATGTGAGGTGTAGCACGTGGCCCATGTGAGGTGTAGCACGTGGCCCATGTGAGGTGTAGCACGTGGCCCATGTGAGGTGTAGCACGTGGCCCATGTGAGGTGTAGCACTTGGCCCATGTGAGGTGTAGCACTTGGCCCATGTGAGGTGTAGCACTTGGCCCATGTGAGGTGTAGCACTTGGCCCATGTGAGGTGTAGCACTTGGCCCATGTGAGGTGTAGCACTTGGCCCATGTGAGGTGTAGCACTTGGCCCATGTGAGGTGTAGCACTTGGCCCATGTGAGAGTGCTGCTCATCTGCTACGTGGCCGGCGCGGGGAACGATGCTGTCGCTGAAATGGTGAGTGGAAGAATGTGAGTGGCCTGAGTGCCCTGGGTGTGCCAAGTGGCTTGTGGCTTGTGTGGCCGGGGGTACTGCTTTAAGGAGAATGCCTTTCCGCGTGCCATGTACATCGAATTGTAAGCTGCGTGGTGGTCAATCGCCTAGCTGCCTCCCTACCTGTCAACTCCACGTGCACAGCACCCACCCGAGCTGGGTGCCACACCAGCTTCCTTCCCAGACTTAATCCACATGCCTGGCGTCTTCTCATCCTCCCCGCCCTATCCGCCTATCTGCCCGCTTTCCCCCTCGGCACTCTCTGTTCCCCCGCCCTCTCCATGCCCCTGCCTCTCTCCATGACAGACCCACACAGACCTCATAGCAGCAGTGGATCGGGACATGCGCACCACACTCCTCCGTCCCTCCGCCCCTCCCCCTCTGGCGCTCGGAGTGCGTGTGTGGCCGCGTGCCGTTCCCCAGCTGAATATTGGCCACCTTGCAAGAATAGAGGCGGCGAAGAGAGGGATCGAAGAGGCGGGGATGGAGGGGGTGTTTCTTGGAGGGAATTATTTGACGGGGGTTGCGCTGAGTTGGTGTGTAGAGGGAGGCTATGAGAATGCTGTTGAGATTGGTCAGTATTTGAGCAGCGTTGAAAAGATTGAGTGAATAATCGTGGGATCATATGTCTGGGCTGGTTATTCCAAGAAGCTTATCTATCATCCGTTGGCAATGTCTTTTAGCCTGGATGTTGTGTGTCGTATTTACTATTTTGATTGATTTATGCTTCTAAGCATTAGGGATAAGCAGAAAAACACGATATCCCAGCTACTAACTGGGTTGAGCCACATCCTCTTTCCACGCAACGCCCTATCAGCTAGCAATGTTGGAACTCCACGTGGCGCTCTCTCGTTTTACGCCTCGCCACGCCCCGTCAGCCTCACGATTTCGCCTCGCCTTCGTTTTGAACAGTAAGGCGGCGTCAAACCCATTCGTGGTTGCTCGAGCCCTACCTAAACGTTAAAAAGTACAAACAAGCCGCTCTATTACGCTCAGCATCGCACTTCACCGCGGTAAACTCTTATGACACACCCCAGCGGCATTTCTTCCAGGATTCTCCGCAACTCGAGCAAGCTGGGATTCTCGAGATTTTCCCCACAACCTACTGGTTCCTCTAGTTCCCCAGCAGCAGCCATTTTTCCCATACCCGTGCATTTCCCATTACCAGCTGCACTGGTCCGACGAGCTTCACTCGCTCTCGTCTCTTCTCGTCGCGACCTTCGTAGCAGCTTGTGCGTGGAGACCCTCGCGCTTCACGATTACCGTTCCGCTTAGCGCAAATCTCGAATCGCTTCCGTACCCGAGAAGCGGTAGCCATGGCGACCGTATCGCAGGCGGCGGCGAGAGCGCCGTACTCCGTCGCGATGTCGCTCGGCGGAAGGGCCGCGCAGCGATTGGCGCAGAGCACCCATCCCTTCCCCAAGGCCTTCTTTTCGGGTCTCAGTCTGAGCCAAGTGAGCATTTCGGGTGAAGCCAAATCGTCGCACGTCGCACAGACGCACGTCGCCAGCCGTCGTGGCGCTCGCTGCGATGCTGCGACTGCGGGAAGCGACGGGAAGCCGCGCGTGCGATTCGCGCCGTCGCCGACGGGGAACCTGCATGTGGGCGGGGCTCGCACGGCGCTCTTCAACTGGCTCTTCGCGAGGTGCGCGTGCGACTGTATGCTACAGAACGAGGAAAATTACGCCTTGTGTGTGTACAAAAAGAGCACAAAAAAGGAACATACTCACTCCAGTAGTGATCGAATCGTAGAGAAGCGGTTGTCGTGATATCACTCAACATGGCTGTTAAAGACGGCTCGCATCAGCCATCGTGACGGTTCGCAAATCGCAGGGTAGTCGATTTTAGAGGTGACTCGGACGGCTGAAACGCAGAGCGCCTATAATGCACGCGCAGATCATGCTGTTAGTGTCGATACACGGCGACCGCGTGGGGGTAATCTCTGCTTTGACGAGTTTTGTAGGGCCTCGTCGGAAGAGGCCAGCGGAAGACTGAGTGCGCGTTATTGCAGGGTTTTGGCTGTCCCTGCTGGGGCTGACGACCGGCCGGCGACCGCCACATGTCATTCCCCTTCCTTTCTTCCCATTCTGTTTCCTCCTCCTCCCCCACCCACCCCCCTCCCGCCCCCCCTTCCGCCTCCCCTCGCCCACTCCCCTCTTCCTCCCCCCTCCCCCATTATTCCTCTTCGCTGTCCCTCATTCTCCATACTTTAACCCCATTCCCCATTTCATCTCCTCAAGATCCCAGATTTTCCTGAATTCCCCCCCGTTGCTACGCTCACTTGGTTCCCCCCCCCAGGGCAACGGGCGGCAAGTTCGTGCTGCGCGTGGAGGACACCGATCTGAACCGCTCCACACCGGAGTCCGAGGCCGCCATGGTGCGCGACCTGCGCTGGCTGGGGCTCGACTGGGACGAGGGTGAGCGGGGGGGGGGTGGGGGAGGGAGGGGAGGGAGAGGTGGGGGGGTTGTGTGGTGGTGACGGGGCGAGGGTGAACAGATAGGGGAAGGGGGGAGCGGGATGGGACGAAAGTGAGAGAAAATGGTGGAGTGGGACGGGAGAGAGGGTGCTGGCTGGCTTCGCTGGATGGATGGTGAGGCGTGAGAGGGCGTCGCTGTAATGCAAAGAATCACTGGCATGGAGTTAGGGCATGAGGCTGGCGGAGTTGTTGCGAGGGTTGAAGGGACTTGAGCTGAATTGGTTCGCTCTTTTCCTCCGTTTCCCTCCCTCTTCCCCCCAGGTCTGGGCGTGGCGGTTGCGGTCCCCTGAGCCCGTACAAGCAGTCAGAGCCTAGCGTGATCAACCGCAAGCCGCCTTACTTCCTCCCTCTTCTCCCCTGCCCGCTGCCCCCTGCCCCCTGCCCCCTGCCCCCTGCCCCCTGCCCCCTGCCCCCTGCCCCTCACTCCCTGCCCCCTGCCCCCCGCGCCCTCTCCTTGTCATTGCCATGGCACCAGGTCCCGATGTGGGCGGTCCCCTGGGCCCATACCGCCAGTCGGAGCGCAACGAGATCTACCGCGAGCTGACAGAGAAGCTGCTGGCGTCGGGCATGGTGTACCGCTGCTTCTGCTCCGATGAGGTGAGCAGCGGTGCTGAGATGGTGGGGGTTTTGATGGGATGAGGTGGGGAGGAAGGAGGGCTGCAGCAAGCGAGGTGAGAGAGAAGCTGTTGTCGTCAGGCATGGTGTACCGCTGCTTCTGCACTGATGAGGTGAGGAACGGTGCTGAGAGGTGATGTGATGGGAACCTCGTGTGCGGTGAAATGAGGTGGTGGGGTTTTTATGAGGTGGGCTGGGAAGGAATAGGAGTGCTGCATGGGTATTCACCACGAGCTGACAGAGAAGCTGCTGGCGTCCGGCATGGTGTTCCGCTGCTCGCTGCTTCTGCACTGAAGGGGGAAAGAGGAGGTGCGGGTTTCAAATAGATGGCACATGAGGAGAGGCAGGAAGGCGGAGCATAGGTGTTTCTTATAGAACAAAAAGGGGACGATGCCGTTTTTCAACTCAAAAGGTTCTTTTCTTCTCCCCGTGCATGCAGGAGCTAGCAGCAATGAAGGCGGAGCAGGAGGCGAAGAAGCTTCCTCCCAAGTACGCGGGCAAGTGGGCGCGTGCCAGCGAGGACGAGGTGGCCGCTGAGCTGGCAAAGGGCACGCCGCACTCGTTCCGGTTCCGAGTGCCGCCCAACAAAGTCATCAAGATCAACGACCTTGTCCGCGGGGAGGTGAGGAGACAACGGTGGGGAGGGGATGCGTGAATGTGATGAGATGAAAGGGATGAGAACTTGTGATGGAGCAGGCATGAGCGGGCAGAAGGCACGCCTCACTCTTTCCGGTTCCGAGTGCCGCCCATTAAAGTCATCAAGATCATGTCCCAGGGGAGGTGAGACAAGCACGGTTGTGAACCATGCAGATCGTATATACAGCTTGTGTTGACCTTCATTGACCTCCGTTGACCTCTGTTGACCACTGTTGAGTTCGACTTCCTTTGACCCCCCCATCTGCCAGGTGGCAAGGAGCAGATGTGCGGCGGACTCTGTGGTGCTGAAGAGCATCGCCGCACTGATCAAGTTTGACTGTTGTTGACCACGGTTGACTCTGTTGACTTGTGTGGTGGTGAGGAGCAAAGCTCTGTTGACTTACGTTGACCACTGTTTACTCTGTTGATTTGTTCTCCCTGCCAGGTGGCGTGGAACACCGATACCCTGGGCGATTTCGTGGTGCTGCGGAGCAATGGGCAGCCGGTGTACAACTTCTGTGTCACTGTGGATGACGCCACCATGAAGATCTCCCACGTCATCAGGTGAGTCTAGTCAACGTGCTGCCACGTCAGGGTGCTGGCAGGTCACTATGCCTCCCCTCTTCCCCCCTCCCACCCACACACACATGGCACCCTCACACACCACAGGCACACCCACACGCACGAACATGTACGTGCAAACACACCCGTGCCCGCGCATCCACATGCAGTGTCCTCGCTCTTCCCTTGCTCTCTCCCCTTCCCATCCTCCAATCAGGGCGGAGGAGCACTTGCCCAACACTCTGCGCCAGGCGCTCATCTATGAGGTACGTGTTCCTGTGCTCGTGCTTGCGTGCCTGCACAATGTAGGGTCCTCATGCCATGCCTTGACATGCCCTGCCATCCATTTGCCCAACACTTTGCGCCAGGCGCCCGTTTGCGAGGTGCGTGCGTTTGTGCTCATGGCATGCCCTGCCATGCCATACCATGCCATGCCATGCAACGCCATGCCATGCCATGTCAAACCCCATGCCATGCCCCATGCCATGCCATGCCCCATGCCATGCCATGCCCCATGCCATGCCATGCTGTGCCATGCCATGCCGCCTTCCATGTCATGCCATGCATGCGCCAAGCGCTCAATGACGAGGTGCATGCCTCCTTTCCCTCCTTCCACTCTCCCTCCACCACATCCTGCCTCCACTCTTCATCCTCTTCTCCCCACCCCACCTGCATACTAGCCCCTAGGGCCCATGCCCATTCCCATGCCCATGCCCATGCCCATGCCCATGCCCATGCCCATGCACTTCTGAGTTGACTCTCCCCAGCCTCATCGCCTTTTTCTTTAACCCCACCCGCCAGGCGCTGGGTCTGCCCATGCCCACATTCGGCCATGTGTCCCTCATCCTGGCCCCGGACCGCTCCAAGCTCTCCAAGCGCCACGGCGCCACCTCCGTTGGACAGGTGAGAGGAGCGGGGAGTAGGGGAAGAGGGGGGAGAGGGGCACAGGTAGGGGCGCCCCTGCCTGCCAGCGGCGCTTGGAGTAGTTCTCACCGCCACGAGCAGCAGCCTAGACTGCTACTGCCAGCAGCAGCCTAGACTGCTTGCTTAGACTGCCTGCCACTGCCTAGACTGCTTGCTTGCAGCAGCTCTCACCGCCACGAGCAGCCACCTCGGAGAGCCCGGGGCCATGGTGAACTGCCTTGTACACTGCTCAACCGGAGTATTTTTTATCCTTGGGCTCACGCTTGCCCCTCGTACACTGCTCTCCTCCCCCACCCCCACACCCCTCCTCCCTGCAGTTCAAGGTTCTGAGAATTTTGCCCGAGGCCATGGTGAATTACCTGGCACTGCTCATCTGGCCTGTCTCGTTTGCTGCTCACGCCTTGCCCGTCCTCCATCTCTCTGCCCCACTCCTGCTTTCCCTCGCAGTTCAAGGACCTGGGCTTCCTGCCCGAGCCCATGGTGAACTATCCCGCGCTGCTGGAGTCTTTTGTTTGTCACTCACTTTATGCCCCTCCATTCTCGCCCCGTCGCCCCCCCCTGCGTGCAGTTCAAGGACATGGGCTTCCTGTCCGAGGCCATGGTGAACTACCTGGCGCTGCTGGGGTGGAACGACGGCACGGAGGACGAGATCTTCACGCCCTTGCAGCTCGGTGCGTTGTAAGGTGCTGTCACTGTCAGGTGAAGTGAAGTGCCCGTGCTGGCATCAGGTGGGTCATTAGGTGGTGTTTTGATCCAATGAGTCAGCTGGCACGGTAAAGTCCTCATCGCATCACGTGTGCCGATAGCTGGTACGTCTTACCAAGAGGGGCTGAGGAAGCTTTCTCTCTCGTACGAGTCACCATGACCGCTTCCATCTCCTGCCATGCCACTGCATTGCCCCCTCCCCTTTCCTCTCACCACTGGCGGTTCTTTTTTTCCCTCTTGCACGTCACCAAGCGCGTCCCCCTCTCCTATCACCGCAATGCGCCCCCCTCTCCTATCACCGCAATGCGCCCCCCTCTCCTATCACCGCAATGCGCCCCCTCTCCTATCACCGCAATGCGCCCCCCTCTCCTATCACCGCAATGCGCCCCCCTCTCCTATCACCGCAATGCGCCCCCCTCTCCTATCACCGCAATGCGCCCCCCTCTCCTATCACCGCAATGCGCCCCCCTCTCCTATCACCGCAATGCGCCCCCCTCTCCTATCACCGCAATGCGCCCCCCTCTCCTATCACCGCAATGCGCCCCCCTCTCCTATCACCGCAATGCGCCCCCCTCTCCTATCACCGCAATGCGCCCCCCTCTCCTATCACCGCAATGCGCCCCCCTCTCCTATCACCGCAATGCGCCCCCCTCTCCTATCACCGCAATGCGCCCCCCTCTCCTAATACCGCAATGCGCCCCCGTCTATCGCCCCCTGGTTGTCTCACTGCAGTCGAGGAGTTGTCCCTCTCGCACGTCACCAAGAGCGCCACCAAATCTTTGACAAGGGGGGAAACTGTCACTGCTCCCTTCCCTCCCCCCCCGCCCCCATCCCTCCTGCCACTGCATTTCCTCTGTCACATGTCCTTTCTCTTGCAGTCGAGAAATTCTCTCTCTCATGCGTCGCCAAGAGTGCGGCAATCTTGGACAACGCCAAGCTGTGCTGCAGTGGAAAAGTTCTCCCTCTCACACGTCACCTAGTCGGCCGCCATCTGTGACAACGCCAAGCTGCGGTGGACCAACAGCTTGTCCCTGTCACACCCTCTTTCTGCCACCCCATTGTGCGCCCTCTCCCCGCCCCCTCTCCTCCCACCCCAGTCGAAAAGTTCTCTCTCTCCCGAGTCACCAAGAGTGCCGCCATCTTTGACAACGCCAAGCTGCGGTGGATCAATGGTCACCTCCTGTCACTGCATTCCCCCACCCTTTTCTCCTCTCTCACTGCATACCCCCCCCTCTTCCCTCCCACTGCAGTGGAGAAGTTCTCCCTCTCGCGCGGCACCAAGTCGGCCGCCATCTTTGACAGCGCCAAGCTGCGGTGGACCAACAGCTTGCCCCTGTCACACCCTCTTTCTGCCACCCCATTGTGCGCCCTCTCCCCGCCCCCTCTCCTCCCACCCCAGTCGAAAAGTTCTCTCTCTCCCGGGTCACCAAGAGCGCGGCCATCTTCGACAACGCCAAGCTGCGGTGGATCAACGGCCAGCACTTCCGCCAGCTGTCCGAGGAAGCTTCCACGCAGCTGCTCGCCGAGCAGTGGCACGCCAGCGGCCTGCTGGCGTCAGCAGACGCTACCAGCCGCACCACACAGGTGGGGGGTGGGGGCGGAGGGGGGAAAGGGATGGTGGGGGGGTGGAAGTGAGGGTGGGGAAAGGAGAGGGGAAGGGGGGGTGGGGGGAGGGGAAGGGCGGGTGGGGCTGTGGAAGTGAGGGCGAGCAGCGGCACCGCACAGGTGGGGGCGTTTGTTAGAGGACGAGGGAAGTGGGAAGAAATTCACCCACACTTCTCCTAACAAATTTCCTCCCCTTGCCCATTGCTGCCCTCCACATGTCCCCATCATTATCATTCCACCACCAGACAGCAGCAGCGTTGGTGCGCAAGGGGCTGGAGCTGGTCACGTCACAGATGCTGCCTGTCTATCCGATTCTCTCCCCTTCCCCATTGCTCCGCTCCACGCTCCCCTGACGCCAAATCAGAGCACAGCAGCACCGATTAGCAACGCGTTGCACCTGATTGCCTAACGAATTCTGTCTGCTTTCCCGCTGCTCCCCTGCACACGTCCCATCATCCCTTGAGACAGCAGCAGCGCTGGTGTGCAACGGGCTGGAGCTGGTCACAGATGCCCACTGCCTAACCCATTCCCTCCCCACTTCCCTTCCTCCCCTCCGCATCGCCTCACCATCTCCCTCCCCTACCTTCCCCACCAGGCAGCAGCAGCGCTGGTGCGCAACGGGTTGGAGCTCGTTACAGATGCTGATGCAGCACTGGAGGCGCTGCTGGCATACCCTCTCAAGGAGACGCTCGCGAGGTGAGAAGCGAGCAGCAGTAAGCGGCCTGGTTACGCCCTCGTGCATCCTAGTACGCGGGTATGCGGATGCCAATGGGGCACGAGAGGCGCTGCTGACGTACCCTCTCAATAAGACACTCGCCAGGTGAGCAGCGACCCTCATTATGATGACTTGGTGCATGCTGGGATGTGCGCATGTCAGTATGGTGACATGTGAAGGCAGCGCTGCTGCTGGAGTGGGAGAGTGGCGCGCTGCTGCCCCGTCACTCCTTCCCATTCCCCTTCTCCTTTTGCATTTACCCTCGTGCCCTCACAACCACCAGTGAGGAGGCCAAGGCAGTGGTGGAGGACGGGCTGGAGGAGGTGAGAGCAGCGCTGCTGGCGGAGTGGGAGAGCGGGGCAGTGCTGGCCCCTCACACCCCTCACTCTTTACCCTCTGCTGTCTCTCCGTCCGTGCCCTCACAACCACCAGCGAGGAAGCCAAGGCAGTGGTGGAGGACGGGCTGGAGGAGGTGAGGGCGGCACTGCTGGCGGAGTGGGAGAGCGGGGCAGTGCTGGCCCCTCACACCCCTCACTCTTTACCCTTTGCTGTCTCTCCGTCCGTGCCCTCACAACCACCAGCGAGGACGCCAAGGCAGTGGTGGAGGACGGGCTGGAGGAGGTGAGGGCGGCACTGCTGGCGGAGTGGGAGAGCGGGGCGCTGCTGGCAGCAGTTGACGGAGGCGCTGCCACGTGGAAGAAGTGGATCAAGGGGTTCGGCAAGGCCAGTGGACGCAAGGTGAGAGAGGGGGGAAAGGTGAGGAAGGGGGGATGGGGAGGGGTGTGGCCTGAGTTGTGGGAAGAAGTATGAAGCAAAGGTGAGGAGCGGAGGGAGGCGCTGCCACGTGGAAGAAGTGGATCAAGGGGTTTTTTCTCCGTCCTCTCCCCCCCCCTCCCCACCCTCTGGCAGGGCAAGCGTCTCTTCATGCCCATCCGAAATTCTTCTCACAGGCTGCATGCACGGGCCTGACGTGGGGGAGACGCTCGCCATGCCCCTCACACCCCGCTCCCCCCTATTCCTTCCTACCTCCCGCTTACCCCTCCCCCTCGTCCCTGGCAGGGCAAGCGCCTCTTCATGCCCATCCGCGTGCTCCTCACGGGCTGCATGCACGGGCCGGACGTGGGGGAGACACTCACCATGCCCCTCACACCCTGCTTCACCCTCTTCGTTCCTTCCCTCCCCACTACCCCCTGCCCCGTCCCCACCCTCTGGCAGGGCAAGCGTCTCTTCATGCCCATCCGCATTCTCCTCACGGGGTGCATGCACGGGCCAGACGTGGGGGAGACTCTCGCCATGCTGCAGCACGCAGCAGCGGACAAGGCCCTGGGGCCCAAGGCGCACTGCGTGGGGCTGGAGGAGAGGATCAGCCTCCTCAGGGATGCGGACCTTACTGCTGCTCCTGCTGCTGCTGAGGCTGTGGCTGCGAGCGTGGCGCAATGATGAGGAGGAAGTCGCGCAGCAGGGTGCAGCAGGGTGCAGCAGGACATGGTGTGGGGCTAGAGGAGAGGATAAGCATTCTCAGGGATGCAGACTTGACTGGTGGTGCTGCTGTTGCTGCTGCTGTTGCTGCTGCTGCTGTTGGTGAGGAAGCAGTGGCTGCGAGCGGGGTGCAATGATGAGTGTGGGGTGCCCAGCATGCTGCAGCATGGTGCAGTGGGGTGCAGTGGGGTGCATGGGTTGTGGTAGACGGTAGACCATGGCTTGGGCGCCAAGACCCACAGTTAGGGATGAGTAGGAGCTATCAGAAACAAAGTTGGCTGCTCGAGGGGGTGCAGTCACACATACTTAGTCGCTGCAGCTGGTGGTGCTGTGGGTGACGGTGTTGGTGTCCCTATTGATGTTGTTTGCTGAAGGGATTATTGCCAGCATTTCTAGGACTGTGGATGCTCAGGCTACGTTGCTAGGCACCAGCCTTTCAGTAATCTCCTGGCAACCCCTCTCTTTCACTTTTGGAGTTGATTAATATGCTGCGTCCTCTTTCACTTTTGGAGTTGATTAATATGCTGCGTCCTGTGTGTAGACCTGTTACTAAGCATTCTTGATGTTGTGCCACCATAGGAGATTTGCCATCAATGTGACGGGGGATTGTATGGTATAGACCCGCTATCATACCCTTCTTTGTTGATGTGTGAACGATTGTGGAATTCAAAAATTAAAAAGGAAAGACAATATAATCTTCCAAATCTCTTGCCCACACATAAAAGCAACATGCAACAGCAATGCAAACAAAGAAGCAAGAAAGAACGAGAATAAAAAGCATTTAGCTTCTCTTCTACCTTCCCGTTCCACTCAATTCCACCACTTCCGCCACTCCCGTCACCCGCTTCCATGCCCGCGTCTTCGACTTTGCTCCTCCATTGCCTCCAACCGGAGCCGCCTCGCCTCGCCGGAGCGGCTCCACGTAGACGGATACTAACTGACTCTTAGTAACCGCCCCCATTGTCTCCTCCTGCGTTATACCCGCTGCCTTCCTCTGCATTATATCCGCTGCCCCGCTCCGCGTTATATCCGCTGCCACCGTCCGCGTTATATCCGCTGCCCCCGTCCGCGTTATAACCGCTGCCTCCCTCCGCGTTATAGCCGCTGCCTCCCTCCGCGTTATAGCCGCTGCCTCCCTCCGCGTTATCCTCGCTGCCCCGCTCCGCGTTATACCCGCCGCTGTCCCCGTCCGCGTTATACCCGCCTCCGCGCTCCGCATTATCCCCGCTGCCTCCCTCCGCGTTATACCCGCTGCCCCCGTCCGCGTTATACCCGCTTCCACGCTCCTCGTTATCCCCGCTGCCCCCCCCGGCGTTATACCCGCTGCCGCTCTCCGCGTTATACCCGCTGCCGCTCTCCGCGTTATACCCGCTTCCCCCCTCCGTGTTATCCTCACTGCTCCGCTCCGCGTTATACCCGCTTCCCCCCTCCGTGTTATCCTCACTGCTCCGCTCAGCGTTATACTCGCTGCCCCTCTCCGCGTTATATCCGCTGCCGCTCTCCGCGTTATACCCGCTCCCGCCCTCTGCATTGCTCTCCTCATTGTTATCAGCCGAGTACCCCCCGCTCTCCTGTGCGACATACCCCTCAGACTCCTGCCCCCCATAGCCCTCAGTTTCTTTCACCACGCTTTCCGTCACATACCCCTCGGATTCCTGACCCGAAGACCCGTACGTGGTCTCCTCATTCAGAGAAAGCTTCTCCGCGCCATACGACTCGCCTCCCTCAGCGTTCGCGTTCGACTGTTCCTCTGACGAGCCGCCGCCAAAGAAGTTCATCATGGTAACGCGTTGGAGTGGTTACTGACGGCTTGAATGACGCACGCTTCTTCCTCTGCTCACGCTTCGACTCCGTCGAACGCCTGACTCGAGGCGACTGCAGAGGGGTAGCAAGTGCAAGCTAGTCACGGAGCGAAGGAGGCAGGATTTGCAGAGGAGTGAGGCAGGGGATTTGCCGAGTGAAAGACCCTCTCACATGTCCCTGGTTATGTACAGAATTTCATTCAGGCAAACATTTCTTGGTTTTCGCACGTGTGTTTTGAAATGGGCTGGGTTGGAATCGGTGCGTCGCAGTCAATTGCGAGCCGTGACGGCGGGAATCGCCAACGCCGCGCTCGCGAACCGCGCACCCATGTGTTTGAATGCGTCGCCCTACGTGCGCCCAAATACATGGCTATGGTGGTGGTCTTGCAAGCGGGGACCTCACCTCCCCATCGCATGTGCTTCTCCCTGTGATTGCAAGAAAGTAACCGAGCCGCGCGCTAAGGATAAGGTTTGCGATATGTTGCAAGAGCAAGTGTTCTTCATTCCCCCAATGCCCGTTTATACGAATGGACAGAATTTCGATGAAAGGAAGAAACGGGCGAGGATAAGCATGTTCTCCTCCCCCATCACTGCCCTCCTTTCCCCCCTCCACCCACATTCTTCACTCGCGAACTCCCACTCAGTTCTAACAACAATCCACGGGGCTACCCTGCATGGTTGCATGGTACGTCAAGTAATGGCCTCCGACCAATGACCATTCCTAGTCGGTGCTGTAATCTCCCTTGCCACGTCTTTTTGAGCTCGAAAATCTCATTGACGAATCAGACTTCACGTTGCACGACCAATCGTGTTTCTTGAAGACAAGTGAAAGAAGGGGATATTCGAACTGCCAGCGAACCGCAATACCCAATCAATGCACTCAAAGCTCGGTGTGAGACATTCACATCACAGGCAAGCCATGGCGTGGCGGTCCTACAGCCACGTCATGTCTTGAGGTTCTGTACAGCAGAATCCTTCCATGCAATCACGTCGGTCAAGAACAAGACCAGATGCGACCAATCGAGGAGTCTGGGCGTGATTGAAATAATACAGTGTGTATTATAAATGTTATGAGTTGTAATGGAGAGTGCGCCGAATAACGAATAACGAAGTTGTGACTTAATGAACTGTCGATTACAATGAAGGCACGCGACTATATAGTGAATACCCTAACTAGAAGGGAACCTCGGGAAACGAGGTTGGGTGCAGGTTTGGCGACGGAAAGCCGAAGTCGACGCGGAGGAGCCTCGGCATCGTTGATGTCGGCCGAACGTGCAAGTCTGAAAATCGGGGTTGTACGCGTAGCAGTCAACCCCGGTAAGGATAAAGGAAAAATCCTTACACTTCCCCCCCCCCCCCCCCCCCCCCCCCCCTTAAGCAAGGTGGTCAATATCCGCAACTCGCTTGCGGGCGAAATAATCACCAAGAAGCGGGGAAGCTTCAAGCGATGCGGATGGCACCCACGTGTCGTCCTCACTGGTGCGGTAAGTGCATCGGACTAGAAAGTCCACGTGGCGTCCAGTGGCGATGAGCCGGATCCGATGTCCGAGAATCTTCGAGGGGTCGGTGGTCGGTTCCGAGACAGGTCGAGCTGTCGGGGCGGTGTTCTGGCGCGCAATGTCTGTCGTGGTAGGTACGAAGTTGCGAAGGAGGCTGACATGGAAGGCATCGTGTATACGCCAGTCGTCGGGGAGCAGCAGCTTCGCAGTGACAGGTGTCACCATCTGGATGATGCGGAAAGGCCCACAAAATCGTGGCCGTAGTTTGTTCGAGCCGGGCAGGCGTAGGTTTTTCGTGTCGAGTAGCACTAGTTGCCCAGGCGTCATGACGATTTCTCGTCGTAGAAGATCAGAGTATTTCCGGGCAGTAATATTCGCCTTGCGAATAGCGTCGGCTGCTTTCTCGCGGATCTCCTGACGTTCTGTCACAAATGTTTATGACCGTGGGACCGGGTTATCGAGTGTTGTGGTGGTTGGTACCACCGGGTCCATCCCGTAATTCAGGAAGAACGGGGAGTGATTAGTCGTGCTAGACGGTGCGTTGTTGAACGCGAACTCCAGTATGGCGAGTGACATTTCCCAGCGAGTTGGGTCGGGGCACTTTGTCCTGATCTGCTCCATCGTCTGATTCGTTCGCTCGGTCTGTCCGTCGGTTTGCGGATGGTATGTTGATGAAAACTGTAGCTTTGTGCCGTACTGCGCCCACGTTTCCTTCCAAAATCTTGAAGTGAACTTTGGGTCCTTGTCGCTAATGATCGCAGACGGGATTCCGTGTAGTCGCACGACGGTTGAGATGAAGAGGCGCGCAGTTTCTTCGGCTGTGATTGTTGTACGACACGGTGCGAAGTGTGCCATCTTCGTTAAGCGATCGACGACGACGAGTACCGCGTCGTTCCCGGACGGCCCAGCTGGCAGCCCCGTGACGAAGTCCATCGTCACCTGTTGCCATGGTCGCTCGGGTGGCTCCAGTGGTTGCAGCAATCCAGCTAGCCGCTGTCGTGTCGATTTCATGGCTTGGCACACCCTGCATGAGGACACATATCGCTGCACGTCGTTAGAGGAATCAGGCCAGTAATATTGACGGTGCAAAAGTTTCTGGGTTTTATCAACCCCGAAATGTTCGGAGAGGTTGGAATCGTGGACCTCTTGGATAAGGAGTTCACGCAGCAGCCGGTAAGCGGGAACCCAAATCCGGTCAGTTCCGGACTTTAGGTAATAGTTCCCCTTTTGCGTCGTTGCCTGCTGGTGATTTCCAGTCGTGAAGAACGGGTCCGTAGTGTAGCCGTGGGCGAATAGTCCCGTAAGTAGTGGGTTCGAGTGGGTGATGAGTACTGCAGCGGATTGAACTGTTGGTCGGGTAAGGGCGTCGGCGATGTTATTCGCCCCTTTCTTGTACGTGATGCGGTAGGTGAAGTGGCTCTCCATGTAATCGAGCCAACGAACTTGTCGCGGGTTGAGGTTGGGCTGAGCTCGCAGGTACTGTAGGGACTTGTGGTCCGTGCAAACAGTGACGTCGGCGCCCACCAAGTAGCAGCGCCATAGTTTGAAGGCATGTATGATTGCGAGCATCTCCTTGTCGTGTATCGGATAGTTGCGCTCGGCAGACTGCAACTTGCGTGACTCGTAGGCAATCGGCTGCAGCCCGTCTCCGAAATCCTGGAGGAGTACAGCTCCGATGGCGAAATCTGAGGCGTCGGTGATGATTTCGAACGGCTTCGATGGATCGGCGATGCGTAGAACCGGAGGGGATACCAGAAAATTCTTCAGTTCCTGAAAGCCGCCTCTGCTTCCTCCCCCCACACGAAATTGATGTCCTTGTGCAGCAGGTCGGTTAGCGGGCCGGTTATCCCCGCCATATTCGGGATAAACTCCTGACATAATTCACGAACCCCAGAAAACTCTGAAGTTCCGTGATGTTAGTCGGGGATTTCCACTCCTGTATAGCCTTGATTTTCGCCGGGTCGATTTTTATTCCGTCGTGGGAGATGACGTGTCCCAAAAACTCCAACTCTTACTTAAAAAATTCGCACTTAGAGCCTTTGGTGATGAGGCGGTTCTCTTGTAGCCGCTGAAAAATCGCGTCGAGGTCGCGGAGGTGTTGTTCTCTTGTCCTGCTGAAAATCAAAATATCGTCCAAGTAGACGATAACACACTTGCCAAGAAATTCCCTGAAAACTCGGTTCATGGTCAGTTGAAAAGTCAAAGGCGCGTTTGTGATGCCGAACGGCATCACTTGGAATTCGTAGCTTCCGTAGCGGGTGCAGAACGCGGTCTTGTAACAATCCTCTGCGAAGACCCGTATCTGGTGGTATCCGCCACGTAAGTCGATTTTCGAGAAGTAGCGAGCGCCGCGAAGTTGATCGAGGAGGTCGTCGGTGCGTGGGATGGGGTAGCGAGACTTGATTGTAACCCGGTTGAGCGCGCGATAATCAATACACATGCGAAGCCCACCGTCCTTTTTCGGGGTGAACAGGATTGGGGCCGCGTAGGGAGACGTACTGGGTCTGATAAACCCTGTCAGATTTATATGACATAGCTACTGTAGGCTATAGTGGGGTAGCACATATGGGGTACAGTTTTCCTAGGGTTTGCATTTGTACCCAACTTTCCTTTAGTCATTCCATTCCTCGTTTCTTCTCATGGTATCGAGCAGGTTCCCTAGTGGGAACGATTCCTAGGGCCCACCACCACGATTTTTTTTTTTTTTTTTTCCTGCCCGGAGCGCGTTTTGCTCCGGCCCGAGTCGCGCCGCCCCTACGGCCCTTCGCGCCGCCCTTTCGGCCCGTTGCGCCCGTCGCGCCTGTCGCGCCCGTCGCGCCCGTCGCGCCCGTCGCGCCCGTCGCGCCCGTCGCGCCCATCGCCACCTTACGCGGCCCCGCCACCTACCTTCGCGGCCCCGCCACCTACCTGTGCGGCCCCGCCACCTACCTCCGCGGCCCCGCCACCTACCTGTGCGGCCCCGCCACCTACCTTCGCGGCCCCGCCACCTAACTGTGCGGCCCCACCACCTACCTCCGCGGCCCCGCCACCTACCTGTGCGGCCCCGCCACCTACCTTCGCGGCCCCGCCACCTACCTGTGCGGCCCCGCCACCTACCTCCGCGGCCCCGCCACCTACCTGTGCGGCCCCGCCACCTACCTTCGCGGCCCCGCCACCTCACTGTGCGGCCCCGCCACCTACCTCCGCGGCCCCGCCACCTACCTGTGTGGCCCCGCCACCTACCTCCGCGGCCCAGCCACTTGCCTGTGCGGCCCCGCCATCTACCAGCGGCCCCGCCACCTACATGCGGCCCCGCCACCTACTAGCGGCCCCGCCACCTACCTGCGGCCCCGCCACCTACCTTTGCGGCCCCGCCGCCTCCTCTCAGCGGCCCCGCTGCCTCCTCCCAGCGGCCCCGGACGCCGCCCTCTCAGCGGCCCCGCCGAGCCGCCCAGCAGCCAAGCCGCCCAGCCGCCGAGCCGCCCAGCAGCCGAGCCGCCC